AATTTCTCTCCGGGAATCTGTCCCAAGAGAGCAAAGTAAAACACACAGAAGCTTCTCGCAGGGTGCCATGGACTGGATGTGCTCCGTCGCATCAGGGGACTCTGTGCAAGGCTTGGTGCCTACACAGGGCGCTAGCTTCACAGCGGGCTGATCCCGTGAGAGCGGATGGTGACAGGGAGTGGCCGGGGTGACCTTGGGGACCTAAGTGCCCCCAGCCCCTTCGCCTGGCCCTGCCTCTCCCCCACGTCCTGGCCACCCCAAGGCGAGTAGCCCTCTCCACGGCTTGATGTTTCTGCCTCTCACAGCCCAGAAACTGTGGAGCCCTGGGACCTGCACCGGGAGGGCATGTTTCTCAGGGCTTGGTGACAGGGATGGAACGCTGACAAACACGACATCATGCTCACTCCCCTCCACGCTCTCTGGGGCCAGGACATCAAGATCTGCGTCCCCACCCACCATCCACCACGGGTGACCCTACCCACTCCTCAGGCGACATGAGTCACCTAGACCCACCCAGAGCAGGGCTCCCCACCCCCAGCCGCTTCCACCGCCACTGCCTGAGGCGCCTCCTCCTCAGCCTCCCCTTGCTCCTCAGCTTCCCTCCTGGATGGCCAGGTCACCCTGGCCTGCACCCAGCCCAAGCTGGCCTTCACCTCCCTCCGCCCAGGTCCCGGCTGATGCCTGTGTCTCCTGTTCCGAGCGTCCCCAGGCCACCACAGCCTCCGATCTTGAGCACTGCAGCAGGCTCCGTGGCTGGGTCCATCAGCCGCTGCCTGCCTTGCTCAGACACAGTTGGCCCGGCCACCCTGGAGGCTCTGACAGTGCAGGGCTGGGTGGTCCAGGAATCTGCCTCATGACGCCCTCTCCTGGTGGTGCAGCTGCCTGGCCTGCGGCTGCACAGGAAGGAGGTCACCGCTCCTCTAGGAGTCAGGACCCTGACTGAGGTCCTCACAGCACCCCTGGGCACCCAAGATGGAGATGGGTGCAGGCTGCTGACTTGAGGGGGACGCAAGAAGCCCCAGGCGGCACAAGGAGCAAGGTGGGAAGGGACACAGCTGAGCAAGAGCAGGAAGTCGGGCAGGGCCACTGCAGGGAGTGGCAGTGCCCACGTGGAGCCCCTCTCAGCACTCTCCCCAGGACAAGAGGACCAGGGAGCTGGAGTTCACACTCCCAGCGCAGCCCCAGTGGAGGCGGTCGGGGAGCCCCACGCAGCCGGCACCACGGAGACGTGGGCGGTGACGGCAGGGCCTCTGCTCTGCTTCGTTCCCACGCAGGGGGCTCTCGTCTCCCCTCGGGGGCTGCTCCTTGTGCCTGGGCCCCTCACAAATCTGGGTCCTGCAAACACCCCGGCTCATCCTGACGCATGGGGTCTCACTCCCCAGGGTCAGCACCCCTCAAACACCCAGACGCTGCAGACCAAGGCACGCAGCTGCGTCACATCAACACGTGAGCATTTCACACATTTGCACACAAGCTGCAGCGTTCTGCTGTCAGGAGCCTGGGCTTTCGGAACCCTAGTTCTTGGGCATGTGCAGTGACTTATGGAGAACGTATTTACATCTGGAGAACATACATCTCCGACACCCAAGCTCAGCCAGCCAGGCCTGGCCCGCCTGCCTGCCACACACTGGCACACGCGTATATCCTTTCTCAAAGTTAAACCTAATTCTTCATAGCCGCACTTGTTTTCAACAGTGATAATGAGAATAAAATTGCTACCCCTGCTTGGTTCTGGAGTCAATTCAGCTGGATCCTGGGGCTTGGAAGATCGTTTTCCATCCTTTGATTTTTAGCCTGTGAATTTGTTTTGGGTTAGATGAGTCCCCTGAATGCAACAGAAGGTTGGGCTCTGTCTTCTCATCCAGTCCACTGCTCTGTGCCTTAACTGGGGAGTCGAGGCCGTCCGCCTACACTGAGATTTTACCAACAGGAGCCAACCTGCTCCTGTCGCTGTGTTAGTTTCCTGTGTTGACTCCTTTATGTCCTTCTTTTCGTTTAACCGCTCACCCTGCTTGATGCGTTCATTCCATTTAATCAGGCCTGAAGCCACTGGTCCTCGGGCAGACTGTTTCCTCCAGATCCTGGCAGTGGAGCAGCAGACCCGCTGGCCGGGCATCACCAGTCAGGGCAGGACAGGGACATCTGGGCCCCGAGTCCTGCTTCCCTCCTGGGCCCAAGGCAGGCAGAGGAAGAACCAGGCAGAGAGTGAGACGAAGGCCCCGGGGACCAAGGGTGGCTGGTGACGTTGCCGGAGCTGCTGCCTGAGCCAGATCCCAGCCCGGGAGAAGAGAGGGGAGGGCACAGCACTCCTGAGGAGCAACACTGCCACCGCCACGTGCCCCGCAGCCAAGGAAGTCATCAAGGCGTGGACAGCAAACGGCTGTAAGGGCCTGGGTGGCAAGCAAAATCCAAACTCCTCCTGCTGAGGCAAAGCACAAGGGTAATAAAGTGACTGCAGGATTAAGGAAACAAAAAGGGCCAACAATACTAGTGAGATCCGAGCAGACCAAACCAGCTGTGTGGAGGTCACAGAGGTCACGAGATAGCACGCCGGGCAAAAGCAGCAAAGGAAATTCAGCCCAAAGGAAACTGCAGCAGGGGACTTGGGTGTGCCTAGTAACCCGGCCTTGAAAATTTTATGTAAGACACAGACAAATCAAAATATTTTCAAATTTGACAGGAAAGCAATTATGGTGGAAAAATTAACCAACTCAGCCTTCAAACATTGAAATGGACAGAACAGTTGAGACTGTAGAAAAAATAATATGATTAATAAGGTTGATTTAATAAATATGCATAGACATAGCATGGAGTTTTCCTCTAAAATTCATGAGAGATTTGCAAATATTAATCATAAATAAGGCTGGTGAATAAAAACACAATAAATTCAGGAGACAGAAGCTACAAGTCTTATTGTCTAAGTAACACCAAAAAATAGCAAAAATAAATAATGTTTAAAAATATCCAACTTCATGCAATTTAAAAACATACATGAATAATTCCCTGCTTAAAGAGGAAATCAAAATGTTAGTAAGTTTTCCAAATACACTAGGACGAGTTCTGTGAATGAAATGTAGCACATGCGGCTGAGGCCGGACTCCTGCAGCATCCCAGGCTCACAGGGCACAGTGATCGAGAAGAAAACAAGAGAAAAGAGACTTCAGGACCAGGAGTCCCAGAGTGCCAGGGAGGACCGAAAAGGGAGGCAAAGGCACCCCCTGACAACCGGAGAACTGGACCCACATCCCAGCTCTTCTTTTTAGTTTTTCAGACAGGCTCTTGCTAAGTGGCTAAGTGCTCAGATTGGGCTTGAACTCTCGATCCTCCTGCCTCAGCCTCCCAGAGTGCTGGAATTACAGGCTTGTGCCACCATGCCCAGCTGAAACTTAAATTGTATCCCTAGATCTTCGGAAAATAGCTGGTTCTCTGAAAAAGACTGAACTGGCCAAACCTCGGACAAGCGGTGGAAAAGAGGCCAGGACAGCCCAACCTGCCGAAGAGCCGCAGCAGACCGCCATGAGGGTGCTTACTCTTGGTAAAATGCTGACGGAGAATTTTCAGGAGGGCGTCAGCTCCGCCGGCGCAGCAGGGGTGGAGGGGCCCTGCTTGCTGGGGCGCCGCTCTTCTGGTCCACCCTGAACCGTGCACACTTCCTGTGGGCGCCTTCAGCCCCTCTCTGCGCGCCGGGCTGCGGGGACAGGAGTCGCTCTCTCCTCAGCGCTGTGGCTCCACGAGTTCTCACTGTCGCAGGGCACGATCCCCTCCCCAGCTCTCACGCCACGCTCCCATTAATGCAACCCGGCCATGCCCCTGAACGGCCGGCCACATCGCCGTGAATACACAGGCTGACGGTTCGCGCCCGTCCACTGCCTTCACCGCCTGTCCTGTGCCACCGGGCTTCGGGAACCTCCCTGCTGGCCAGCCAGCCGCGGGCCCCACGGATGCCCCGCCCCAGGGCCAGGCCGGGGCTTCCTTTCGGAGCTGGGCCCTGGTCCCCCGGCTCCACCCGTCGCCACTGCTCCTGCCCAGGTCAGCAGCTGGAGGGCCGGTGTGGGCCAGCCCCGGGCCACTTACCTTCCCCATCCCTCGGTTTCCCTTCTGAGGCCCCAGTGGGTGGGCGGTGTGCGGAGGGCAGGCCAGCAGCTGGCACCGCCGCGGTTCCCCCCGAGCCTCTGCACCCGCAAGGACCCAGGGCAGGCCCAGGCCGAGGGTCAGGTGCCGCCCACCGAGGCCCCGCCCCAGGGCCCCGCCCCGGTGCCCCGCCCCTC